CCATGCTCCCAACTTTTGCCTGGAAATCTTGTCTGCTTCCAATTTCCAGGAGGATCTATATATGTTTTTCTTTGGGTTCACCTTATTATTTGGCTTCTCAAGGCTTGTGAACAATAGGCTCAATGTCCTTTGTTTATGGCTAGAGTCCACTAATGAGTGAGTACATACCATATTCATCTTTTTGGCTCAGGATAGTGTTTTCTATTTTCTAGTCATTTGCATGCAAAACTCAAGATGTCATTGTTTTTTATTGCTGAGTAGTATTCTAATGTGTATATATTCCACACTTTCTTCATCCATTCTTCCATTGAGGGGCATCTAGGTTGTTTCCAGGTTCTGGCTATTACAAATAATGCTGTTATGAACATAGTTGAACAAATGTGTTTGTAGTATAATAGAACCTTCGTCTGGCAAGGGATGGAGATAGAGACAGAGACCCACATCAGAGCATTGGACTGAGCTCCCAAAGTCCAGTTGAAGAGCAGAAGGAGGGAGAAGTTGAGCAAGGAAGTCAGGACCGCAAGGGGTTGGTCCACCCACTGTGACAGTGTGCCTGATCTAATGGGAACTCACCCGATCCAGCTGGACTGGGACTGAACGAGCATGTGATCAAACTGGACTCTCTGAATGTGGCTGACAATGGGGGCTGACTGAGAAGCCATTGATAATGGCACTGGGACTTGTTTCTACTGCATGTACTGGCTTTTTGGGACCCTAGTCTGTTTGGATGCACACATTCCTAGGCCTGGATGGAGTGAGGAGGGCCTTGGGCTTCCCACAGGGCAGCGTACCCTGCCCTCTCTTAAGACTGGAGGAGGAGGGAGGAGGTCAAGTGGGGGAGCTAGAGGGGAATGGGAGGAGGGGAGGAAGTGGAAATTTTTGAATGGAAAAATAAATAAAAAAATAAATAAAAAAGAAATCACCCTCCTGCTATTCCTAGTAGCCTAAAAATGACCACATACAAAAGCAAACACTTCTAGTATAACCTTAGTATAACTTTAAAACATATTTATTTTTATTTATTTTGTGATAAGAAAGCTGTTTTTTTTTATAGAAAACAACTGGAAAGAAAATAAGTGGCTTACAAGATGCTCTGCTTCAGACACCTAATTTCTCGTGCAACTCTGATAATCCATATGGAAAGTTTTACAAAGCAAAATAAAGTTTAACTCCACAGCTATGTGGTTAGACATTTATCTTGCAGAGAGCATCTGCGATGTCTGAGACCAGCAACCATAATATTGGATACAGTAGTGAACATTTTGAAATAACATTAGATATAAAAATCTTTAGAATTCTCTTGGTAAATCTGGTACAGCCACAGAAGGAGAGATTGTTCAGTTATCAAAATTATTAACTGAAGGATTGTAGGAGCTAGAAGGGTCAAGGACACCACAAGAAAACCCACAGAATCAACTAACCTGGGCTCATAAGGGCTCACAGAGACTGAACCAACAACCAGGAAGCCTACATGGGACAGACCTAGGCACTCTGTATATATGTTACAGTTGTGTAGCTTGGTCCTCTAGTGAAACTCCTAACAATGGGTGCAGGGCCTGACTCTTTTACTGACTTTCGGGACCATACGCCTCACACTGGTTTGCCTTGCTCAGCAATAAAGAAGGAAGTGCTCAGTCTTACTGCAACCTGATATGCCATGTTTTGTTGATATCAAGGAGACCTGCTCTATTCTGGATGGAGATGCAGAAGGAGAGGAATGGGGGTAGGAACAGAAGGGGGATGTGGGAGGGGCTGGGAAAGGACGCTATGGCTAGGATGTAAAATAAATAGATGGATAAATTTATTTAAAAATTATTGATAGAATATGTAAACAAAAGTATTTTTAATATATTAGTGAGGGGGAAATCAAACTTTAATTTTTTTTTTTGAGACAAGGTCTCATTGTGTATCCCTGACCGGCCTGGAATTCACTATATAGTCAAGATTGGCCTTGGTGTATTAGTCTTGCTTCCTTTTTCAAAATTCCTACTGGATTTAAAAAGAAAAAGAGACAAGAGTTATAGCTGAGTAGCAGAGCACTTGATAGCATGCACAAGGGCTGTTGGTTTTCTCTCTGGACTGGGAGAAGAGAAGAAAAAGAAAGAATAGACAAGAATTTGAACCCAGACAAACAGAAAATATATGAACTAAATCTTGGAGAGTGTTGTATCTGAGTAGTGAAATTATTGATAACCGTCCCTTTCCTGTTTACCCTTATGCTATATTTTTTCTAGATGAATGTATATTGCCTTTGAATTTAAAGCTAGCATGAAGATTCAATCCATATTTAGTCTCCCTGTCCTATTTCTGTAACACGACTTCAAACATTTTAGCATATTTTTTCCACACATAAGTGGAGCGTCTATGTGTATTTTGATGTTCCATATGGATATTCAAAATAATCCTGACTTCTAGGACTGATCCCATTCAGGCAGATCAGGTTCTTTCTGCGTGCACATGGCCGCAGCCCTGACCTTTCTGGAGTGTGTGCTAGGATACAGTTGGAAAGGTGGGAAGATGCTTCCCCTAGTTCGTCAAAGCCCAGAGCTTATGGCTGACATTCTCCCACCAGAGAGCCATCCCTCAGGTTTATGGATTTTTACCCCATTAAAATGCAAATAACCAGGGAGAAGTATACATTAAACTTTACCTGTCACCTGTGCTAAGTGAGCGTAACGTATCATTTTCTGGGAATAGGTTTTAATGGAGAAGACATGGGAATTTAAGAGGGGGGCAGAGAGAAGAAAGTATGAATGAATATATATGGTGTCTGAGGATTAATTAATATTCATAGTAGTGATGTTTTTATTTATGGTTTATGAGTCACTAAGGAGCATGTTATCACGTTTAATTTTAATTAAATTAAATAGTCTAACTGTTGCCAAGACAATCTACAGTCTTTAAATTTTTTTCTAGCGGCATTGCTAAAAGCTGTAGTCATACTCATGAAGAAAGACCCATTTAACTTTTCCCCTTTAACTTCGAATCATAGTCATGTGTGATATTAAAAGATTGTCCAAATAACCACCAAGGGAAGAACAAGTGAAGAAAATATGATTATTTCTTACTTAATCCATTATTAATGCATATGAAAACAACACTAACATTTTCTAGGAATTTTTGTTGTTAAAGGTAATGACCAACTGGGAAAAAAAAGAGAAAATATCTACTCTTATACATTAGAATATTTTTGAGCATGGATCTTTCCATTCACCAGTGGAGAATAGAAAAGATAGGAAGGGACAAAAATTAGCAATCAGAGAATGGATGGGGACTGGGAGGTGGGTTCCATGGAAGAAGCATGTGCGGTACAAGCATGAGGGCTACTTAAGAGCTGGGAATAGTGGTGTCTCTGTAACCTCGGTGCTATAGAGGGAGAAACAGGGGTATCTCTAGAACTAGCTAGTTAGTCACTTTATATGGATTGACAAACTTGATCAGTGAGAAATCCTGTCTCCAAAATAAAGGGGAGCGCAGTAGAGAAAGTCATCGAGTATCGACTTCTGGTCTACACATGCGTGTGTATATACACTCCATTCATACCTGTATGCACATGTGTACATCCCCACAGTCAGAATTACATATACCATACAGGCACAGACAGACAGACAGACAGACAGTCACACACACACACACACACACACACACACACACACACATCAGTTGTTTGAAGGGAGAGCCTGCAGAATAACTTCCTTCTTACACATACATTAAGTAAAGTTTCAGTGTAATGGTTAAAAGCAGACTCTGTCACCATTTTCTTAAGTGTGAATTCTGACTTGCATCAATACACCAGTTGTGTAAAAACAGATTTCTTAATTTCATTGTCAATAAAAGGAGTATAATTTCCTCATCATTAAGATGACTTTAATACTGGAACCACCTCATGGACATTCTAGAAGAATGAAATCAATTAAATATATTAAATTACATATCACAAAATAACTGCATTAAGTGATGTTAAAACCACCTACATAATTTCATAGGACCAAAAATGTACTAATCATATGGAGTAGAACTGTGAATTACTACACACAAACACACACACACACACACACACACCACACTTGTTTCTATGGAAATGTATTATATGTATGTATATATAACTTACAAATTACAAAGCAAATACAGATATATATATATATATATATAATACATTTCCATAGAAACAATATAACCATAGAGCTATTAAAACTTAACAAAACTAATTAGAGGAAAACAGGTGGGTGCCAATTAGATATGCATTGTTATACTAATAGAATGTTCCAGTAAAACTTTCTGTAAACTAAAGCTGTCTTTATTAGAATTAATTACAAAACATGTAAATTTTATTAATAACATTATGAAATTGACTAAAAATTCAATGAACAAATTATGAAAACTGGTAAAGAGAAGGAATAGTAAAACTGCAGGCTAAAGTGAAGCGAGGACAATTAGGGAAAGGCAACAATTGGGGATGAAGGAATTTAATGACTATCGTTAAGAACTACAGTGGGATGTGGTGTCACATATCTGTAATTCCAGCACTTCAGGGACTGAGGCAAAATGACAGTGAGTCTGAGGTTGGTTTCAGGCACATAATGAAACCTCCCCTCACAAAAGCAAAGGCTAGGAATTTAGCTTAGTTGTACATTTGCTTAGCATTAACAAGGCACTGAACTTCATCTTGAGCACAGAAAAAAATTAGACTTATAATAACATGTATTGAGTGATGTTATGAGTATATACTCATAATGATCAGCTTTGCAAAGTACGTTGATACAGGTAATGATATTCAAAGCATTGAAGAAGTCAGTACTGGAGAACACACTATAGGAAACAGTTGTTTTAGCTGAGGAGTAGAGACAATGATCTAACTAGGTTGCGTGTTCCACCAAGTTACACGTCAGGATGAAATAGACCTCTATTGTATAGAAATGTCTGTTAATTCAACCCCTCCTAACATTGAGCTACCAAGACACAATGAGCAGGTTAATCAGTAAATAATGAAAATGACTTACTGGAAAGGAAGTGCTGGGATGCGGGGCCAAAGTCCCTGTGGGCTTCATGCAGCTGCCTGACCCGATCCTCCACAGCCACCTGGGAGGAAAAGAATAGAAATGATATTTTCTCATATCCTTTAGTGAGCAACACTTAAAAGACTGTCCCTTTATGGTAAGATGTTTTCTGTCTGTAAGGCTAAGAACAGCAAAGCAACAATTCATAACTCTGGTTTTAATACGTTCTTAACTGTAAATGGTCTCCAAGACTCATTTTTATCAAACCAAGTTCAAACACAAAAAAATTTACTCTATTTTGACAGTTTTACAATCAGACATTTTATGCTCCCTTTATTGAAATCATAAATAAAATGCACATTATAATTTATTTTACAAAATTCTCAGGAAATTGTCACAAACAAGATATAGTGAGTGCCGATAGGATCTTGTAAAGGTATATTTGGTTTTGAGTCTTAGTTGATTATTTTTGACTAATGCTAAATTAATTTTAATAGATTATTGCTAGTTATAGAGTGATAATTCTTACCAGTGAACAAGCAAATGTTGATGACAATTAGCCTGACACTGATATCACACACCTGAAATTGTAGCACTTGAGAGGCATAATAATCGAACATTAAAGCTAGTTAGAGCTACATTGTGTGGCCCTGCCACAACTCAACGAATGAGAACAGAGCAAATTAAAATAAAAAGTACACTAAGAAGAATTAAGCTAAAAAAGCATGAATTGGAAAGATAATTCAGTCAACAGAGGACTTGAAGTCAAAAGTTCAAGTACTTGAGTTTGATGATTTCTGGAACCCAAGTCAGTGGTTATCAACTTTCCTAATGCTGCAACCCTTTAGTACAGTTCTTCATGTTGTGGTGACCCCAACCATAAAATTATTTGAGGTGGGTCTTGTATCTTATCTGTTGCTTTCATTGGTTAACTAATAAAGAAAACTGCTTGGCCTGATAGGACAGAAAATTAGGTAGGCGGAGTAGACAAAACAGAATTCTGGGAGAAAGAAGCCGAATCAGAGAGTTGCCATGATTCTCCTACTCCAGACAGACTCAGGTTAAGATCTTTCCTGGTAAGCCACCTCGTGGGCTACACAGATTATTAAAAATGGGTTCGATCAATATGTAAGAGCTAGCCAATAAGAGGCTGAAACTAATGGGACAGGTAGTGTTTAAAAGAAAAAAAAACTGTGCAAAGGGTCATTAGACGTCCAAAGGGGTCTCGACCCACAGGTTGAGAACCACTGACCTAATTAAAGGTACTGGTACATGCTGATAAAGCTAGTGCTTGGGAGGAGGAGACAGGAGCATTCCCAGGTTTTTCTGACTAGTCAATGTGTCTAATGGATTTTTCTAGACCAATGAGAAACACTGTCTCAGAGAAGGTGTATGTTGTTCATGCTGCTGACACCTGAGGTTGTTTTCAGGTTCCCACATAAATACACACATGTATGCACATGTGCCTACACACACATTCATGTAAAATCACACACATGTACACACACACACAATACAAAGGCAGAGGCAAGGTTTAATTTGTGGTAACATTCGGTAAGAAATGAGATGAAAGAAATTTTCAGGGTTCAGTTTTCATCGCATTTGGAAATTAATAAGAACTATGCCTCAGGCAGTATGGAATCAACCTTGTCATTCTTTTTTCCTATTAGGCTTTTCTGTAATGCATTTACACACTGTCCTGTTTAAGCTTACTGAATTTCATTCTTTGCAGGAAAAGGGGGAGACCTTTTGGAAGGTGTGAAATGATATACTTTGTCATCTGGCTTTTCACCAACTCAGTATTAGTGGTGGCCCCAGGCATTCTCCTCAATAACTTTGGATCTTAGTTTGGTTGTCAACAGCCCATGCTAAACAAGGAAATGTTCAGAGATTGCCCACAGGCACCAGAATTTAGGTTCCTGTGCTGTGGAGAATCATCTATAAATAAGGCAGTTCTCAATCTCATCAAGTAGTCTAAACTAATGTCAACCCCGACTTTCCAATATCAATGAAATGCCTAATGTATATCTAGAAATTTTTCTCTTACTTTTTCTCTATCTTTGTCTGTCTTTGGTTGGGATTCGTTAAGCAGAGTTTCAAGATGATGCAGGATTTCCCTTACTATTATAAACAGGGAGACCCTAGAAACATTTCAGATTTGTTCTTCCAATCATACTCTATCTGCTGAGACCACCAAACATCCGTTTGTCCTGCAATATTCCATATATATACATATATATATATATCCATGGAATATATATATATATATATATATATATATATATATATATATATCCAGAATGCCCTAACCACCTTCTCTCCCACTGATAGTATAATAGGGTTTATATGCTTTATTTTTTTATCTCCAAGGTGAGAATTAATTGCTTCCACAGCATGCTCATAGCACATGGTTTATAATGAGACATTTGAATAATATCATTCAGTAATATAAGGAAATGAGTGTCTCCTAAAATAGAACATGAACCTCTTGGTGGTAGGGGCTTTCTCCTTGCATGTGTGTATTTCCACTCCTCCCTTCATATGACTCCCTGAACCCTGTACAGAGGAGGTGATGGCAAGTATTTGTTTAATGACTAATTGACAAAATAAATGGATACTGTATCTGTATGTAATCTCTCTCTCTCTCTCTCTCTCTCTCTCTCTCTCTCTCTCTAGAAATTTGCAAGAGGCAAAGGGAGAGAAAACAAAAAAGAATATCAACCAAACCACCAATGCTGATTGTATATCTGTGGTAGTCAGTTTATGTATAAATTTCATCGTTCCCAGAACAGATATTATTTCTGAGTGTATCTGTGAAGGTATTTTTAAAAATTATTTAAAAAATGAAATTGGTATTGAATGTGTAGTTTCTGCAAAGAAGATTGCCTTCTTCAAGATGGGTATGGTTTATGCAAATCAGCTGGGGCCCTGAAACAATAAAGGTAGCCTATTTTCTGTCATGGTCATCTACTTTAGTTGACCTGGGATGGACATTTACTATTTTGCCTTTGGAATTGGAGCCACTCTCTACCACCAACTGTTCTGGGTCTCTAGCATGCTGACAAAGATCACGGAACTTTTTAGACAACAGTCTCATAAGACCTTCCAAGCAAATCTATCTATCTATCTATCTATCTATCTATCTATCTATCTATCTATCTATCTATATCGGTCTGTCTATCTGATCTGCTCTCTCTCTTCCTCCCTTCCTCCCACTTCTCCCATCTATCGTCCATCTCTTGTCCCCTCCTACTAGGGTACTAGGGTATTCTGACTAGTATAATGTCTCTGTAGATTTTTGCTATTATGGTTAATAAATGGAGAGAGATAAGGTATAATGAGCAGGGTATCATACACCAAAGAAAATGGCTAACATTTATTTAACACTATGTATATAGAAATACAATTTGAAATTTAATGTTTACAATAATTCTATAACAATTAATATTACTCCTTAATTCTATCAATATAATAACTGAGATATGTAGATTTAAAAAAGAAATTTGCTCGGGCCAGGTAGGCTGGTGTATCCTATAATATTTGCCAACAAATGGCCAAAGTAGAAAGATTGCAAGCTCATAGGCAACCTGAACTACATAAAAAGCTTAAAGCAAACCTACGCTACAAAGCAGGCACCTGTCAAAGCAAAACAAACAAAATGACCAACAAACAATTTATTACTGAAGTTTAATAAGCTGGGGAATTATCAGTGAGAATATTTAAACTTCTTCAGTCTGCTCTTTTATTATTATTATTATTATTATTATTATTATTATCATTGATTTTTATTGAGCTTTACATTTTCTCTCCTCCCCTCCCTGCAGTCTGCTCCTAATAGCCATGTAGAAGATTAAAATAGAACCTGGTAAATATTTGGAAAGCAGTAACTTTTAAATTTCTATTTCAGTGTGTGTGTGTGTGTATTTACGCCATGCTGTGGAATGAGTCCAGTGCCTTTACATTCTAAGGAAGTGCTTTATCACAGAGATATGTCGCATTCCATAAATGTCTTCATGTTTTTATCAATTAATTTATCATATTGAAACCAAATCAAGTGTGTACCTCTACAAAACTTTAGCCATCAGTGCACTTTACGATCCAATACGAGGCCTCTTCTTTGTCTTTAAGACTATGCTATCATAATCTTCCAGAGAAAGGCTATGGAAGAACACACATAAATGCATGATGAAATATATAATTAGTTAGAAATTTAGAATGTATCATTTCATGAACAAATGAATCAGGAGATGAATGTGAAAGTTGGGGAATAGAAAGGGGGAGAATGGTCAATGGTCAAAGACTTTTTTTTCATACTGTTTAAGAAATCCTCATGAGAAAATGGGGGTGAGTCATGAGTGCCCACAAGCCAAGTCCCTTAATGACAACGGTGGTCACTTCATGGGGACCACTTAGATGTAGCACCTGAGTCAATTACAGTCCCTTAATTTCTAAAAGCTATGGCTAAAAATTTGTCATACAAGAACAATGCTAATTTCTAGTGTACACCCAGGATTGTCAAGACTTGAAAATAAGATCAAAGGAAATTTCTCTCCCTATGACTAAAACTTAATGAAAACGTACGAGGAGTCTCAAATTAAAAATGTATCCTATACTGAAATGAAATCTTCAGGAAACATTCCTAAAACAACTGAGAAGTAAACATTGTTTATGTTTAACTTTACAAATTGTCACAGGAGAAAGGATTCCTGTAGACTGAGTGTAAATTGACTAAATAAATAATTGTGAGAAAGAAAAATGTGAAGGTAACCAAGGTTTTCACAGGCTATCATTCCTTACCAACAAAGCTACTCATTCTGGGAGCAATTATTTATGGAAAACAAATTTGATAAGCTTTTAAAACAACAGTGCAAACACATCAGACCTTTTGAACTGGCTGTGTTTTTAATCAACATGAGATAATATATAAGCCAGAAAGTCAGAAACAGAACCTAGACACCAGTACTTTGCATTCCGGCAATTGTAATTATTCTTTTTGTTATTTGTTCATTTTGTGTATATTTGTTAATATTAAAAAATAGGCATGCATTAAACATTGGCTGTTGTTTCTGCTTTTTCAATGCT